GAAGAAAGAAAGAAAGCAAAGGAAAGAAGAGAAGAAAGAGAGGTGAAAATTTCTCAAATTTGGTGAAAAACATAAATTAATAGATTCTAGAAGATCAGCAATCCCAAATGAACTAAATGCAAAGAATAACTAAGCACATCATAGTAGAAATAGTGAACATCAAACATAAAGAAAAAAATCTTGAAATAAATCAGAGAAAAAGAACATGTTATACATAAGAGAATAATAATATGAAAGACTGAGGAAGTCTCATTTTAAAAATGAAGGCAATTTGTAAAATTACTTCTTCATAATGCTAAAAGGAAAAATATATATATATTGGTCAGCACAGAATTCTATATCCACTGAACATATTCTTCAAGAGTGAAAGCAAAATAAAAAATTTTAAAATAAAAGAAAACAGGGAATGTGTCACCAGAAGACATACATTACAAAACACTCTAAATGGATATTTTCAAGCAAAAGGGAAACAATGCCATATAGAAACCCAGATCTTCAGAAAGGAATGAAAGAACTGGAAATGGTAAATCATGTGGCTGCATATAAACATTCTTTTCTCTTAATTTTCTTAAAATACATATAAAATAAAAATCTGTATAAAATAAAAATTATTATGAATAGGGCCAATAGGTAGTGTGGTAGTTGGGGGCGCTGGTCCTACGTGGCTGACCACAGTGCAAGTCCCAGACCTGGTGGCTTGCTTTCTCACTTTCTCTCTCTCTCTCTCTCTATCTCTCTCTATCTCTATCTCTATCTCTATCTCTGTCTCTCTCACTTTCTCACTCTGTTCTTTCCTGGTCAAATTAAAATAAATAAATAAATAAAGCTAAATAAAATAATTCTTAAAAAGTATAAAAAATAGTAATGCATTGTGGGCTTTATAATATATGCATATGTAATATATAAAACAACTAACATAAAGAAAGGATGGCAAGTGGATTTGTTACAAGATTCTTAGACTGTAGTGAAAGTGGTAAAATATTAATTCTTGGGACCAGCAGTTGGCTTAATGGCTATGTCAGTGGACTCCCACGTAGTCGACCACAGTTCAACTCCACGACCCGGTGGCTTAAACTCATGCCAGGCACATATGCGTGCCTGCCCAAGATTCTGAGAGGAGAATGAAGGAGAAGGGATTGTGGTGTGGCCATCCCCCTGGGGTGTGACTTCTTGCTTTCTATGTCTCTGTTTCTCTCTGTCTTTCTGGCAAGCACACATGCCCTACAGCAAAAACCTCTCCGGAAAAAAAGAAAAAAAAAGATTAATTCTAAGTTGGCTACTAGAAGTTAAGGATGTCTGACCAGCAGATGACATGGTTAAGGCTCTGGACTCCCAGATGGCAATTGAAATTCCAGTCCCAGACTTGGCAGCTTGCTTTCTCACTTTCCCTCTCTCTGTCTCTGGTGAGCACACATGCCCTAATAGAAAATTAAAAAATAAACATAGCAATACATAAAATTAAATAAATAATTCTTTTTTAAAAGAGAAGAAAAGTTAAGGGCGTGTAATGTATCCTAAATTGACCCAAAAATGCAAAAAAGGTATTTCTTAATAACTGAAACATAAAATGAAATCCTAATAATATTAAATGTACTCAAAAGTAAATATGAGGGAACCAGCAGTTAGCGTAATGGCTATGTCGCTGGACTCCCACGTAGTCGACCGCGGTTCATGTCCTGGACCCGGTGGCTTAAAACTCACGCCAGGCGCGTGTGTGTGCATGCCCAAGATCCCGAGAGGAGAATGGAGGAGAAGGGATTGCAGCGTGGCTATCCCCCCGGGGGGTGATTTCTCGCTTTCTGTCTCTATGTCTCTCTCTGTCTGGCGAGCGCACGCGCCCTACGGTGAAAATCTCTCCAAAAAAAAAAGTAAATATGAAAAGAGAAAGAGAGGAGTAAAAAATAGAGCGGCAGGGCAGCCGGGGGCATGATAGTTAAGGCAGCTGGATCCCACAGGGTCAACTGCACAGTTTGAGTCCTGGACCAGAGGCTTGAAAGACACAATAGACAGTGTGCATGCATGCCCAAAATCCCAAGACGAAATAGCAGAGAAGGGATTGTGGTGTGTCCATCCTCCCGGGGGATGTTTTCTTACTTTTCCTCTCTGTCTCCTCTCTCTGTCCAGTGAGTGCCTGTGCCCTATAGTAAATTTTAAAAACTAGAGTGGCACAGAAAACAGCAAAGCAGTAGACACAAATTCACCCATACCAATTAATACTTTAGATCTAAATAAACTAAACATTCTAATTAAAATATAGAGATGTCAGAATGGATAAAAAGTTAAGACCTATGTATGTACTGTCTACATTACACAAAATATAAATGTAAAGGCACAGGTGGGTTGCAACTAAATGGATTTTTAAAAACAGGTCATTGCCACCATGCCACCAATATGCAAAAGAAGGCTGGGTATCAGACAAAGTTGATTTTATGAAAAAAAAAGTGTTATCGAAGATAAAGAGACCTTCTTTATGTAAATGATAAGAGTCATTTGGGGATAGTGAGTAGGTTGACGATAGGGCAGGGACCCTGAGACAAGGAGAGGCACCATCTGCCTTGCTAGTCTGTCATATTACGTTTTTTTTTTCCTTTTCCCTTTTTTTTTAAGAGTCGCTATGTTCCTTTGACCTATGGACATGTAGATCTTTCTCCTAAATAATGTATGACTCCTTGCTATGAGACTTAACTAGTCAAAAACCACAGACCAATTGTCACAGCCCAGAGCACACAGAGTAAGTTTATTTTTTCCCCTCAGAAACCTGAAGAAGCAGGACTTCTTTTTATTTTTTTTTCTTTCCTTTTTTTTCTTTTTTTAAGAGGTTTTTTGCTATAGAGCGCATGCACTCACCAGACAGAGAGAGACAGAGAGACAGAAAGCGAGAAATCACCCCCCAGGGGGGATGGACGTGCCGCAATCCCTTCTCCTCCATTCTCCTCTCGAGATCTTGGGCACGCACACACACACACACACACACATGGCCGGCATGAGTTTTAAGCCACCAGGTCCGGGACTCGAACCACGGTCGACTACATGGAAGTCCAGCGACATAGCCATTATGCTAACTGCTGGTCCCAAGAAGCAGGACTTCTTGATCTTGTAAATTCCTAGATAGCAACCTCAGAGTCAAAGTTAACGTTAAAGTTAACTGAAATAACTTTTCCCAAAATTATGGCCTTTGAACCAAATCAGTCACTATTAGCATGCCCACGAGGACTGAACAAAGCCTCTCTAACCCGGATAAAATCATTCCCTCAGATCCTCTTGGGCAGCCCACTTTCCCAACCTGCTTCCTGCTTGGGAGCTCTGTTCTTCCTTTCTTCTCCTTCAATAAACTCTCTGCTTGTTATTCCCTTCTCTGTGTCCCCGTCTCGAATTCCTCATGAGCTTGAGACAAGAACCCATGTCCCACTGCAGATGCTGGGCCTGATCACCCTTGCACCCCTGAGACCCTGCGTCAATTTCAATGGGAAGAGGTAGCAAACAAAATGTATATGCATCTATTAGCAGAGTCTCAAAATACATGAAGCAAAACTTGACAGAATTAAGGGAGAAAGTAGACAAACTCACAATTACAGGTGGAGATTTTCAAACTTCTCTTCCAGCAATTGGAAAGAACCAGACCAGAATTTGGTAAGGACTGAAAATGTGTTCACTAACAATCACTTGGACTTTACTGGCAGTTTTAGAGCACTACACCCAACAAATAAATAATACACTGCTTTTTTTTCCTCAAAGGGATATATTTTGCCCACCAAGATAGAATAAATGCTGAACCATTAGGTCCAACCTCAATGCATTTAAAAGAATTGAAAGAAAAAAAATTCATCCCACCCCACAGGGGTCCAAGCTCTCAAAATGACTCTAACATTGCTCATACCAATTTAGTAAGTTGTGTCCATAAACCCACTGCAGGGGAGAAAAGGGAAGGAAGTGTTGGTGAAACCATCTGCTTGACAAAAATCTCTTCTATTTAGAGAGGACTCACGTGGCCCAACATATTGCGATTATATTCTGTGACCTGCAGCCCAGGAAAGGACATAGCCATAAAAAAGCTTTCCTTCCTCTTACCACAAAGTGTATTTAAAAATAGAGTCTCCTAAAGACAGTAAGCAATGACTGTCAGGGAGTTTTAAAAAGAGGAAACTTGGATTCAGGTTGATGTCATCTCTACTGCCGCAGGAATTTTCAGACTAATCTACATCATACCTGAGTAGTGTTGAAAAGGCAGAATATGTAGCTAGAGACGTTCCTGCTGACATCATTGTTAGCGAGCATAATGTAGGCAAGAATCCAGGTAATTCCAAAAATGACGGCAATAGATAACGTGCTAAGAATCTTCTTTAGGGATGAAACCTTTTTAGTGCTAGGTAGGAGAAAACAAGAAAGAAAATATGGTTAATTAGGTATTTGCTTTTTTTTTTTTTTTTTTTTTTTTTTTTTAAATTTGCTACAGGGTGTGTGCACTTGCTGGACAGAGAGAGAGAGGAGGAAAGTGAGAAGCCACCTCCCAGAGGAGTGCTGCAATCCCTTCTCCCCCATTTTCCTCTCACGATTTTGGGCATGAACACACATGCCCAGCGTGTTTTTCACACCTCAGGGTTTAGGACTCAAACCGTGCAGTCAGCCAGTTTGAGACCTGGACCTGGTGGCTTCAAAAATTCACCAGATGCATGTGTGTACTTGCCCAAAATCCTAGGAGGAGAAGGGAGAAGGGAATGTGGCGTGACTATCCTCTTCAGGGGATGCTGTCTCACTTTCTGTCTGTCTCTCTCTCTCCTTCCCCATTTCTGTCACTTTCCAGTGGGCACACAGCCTTAAAAATACTAAAAAAAAAAAAAATTTAACCTGTTGTGTGGGGACCACCAGTTAGCATAATGGCTATGTCACTGGACTCCCATGTAGTCAACCGCGGTTCGAGTCCTGGACCTGATGGCTTAAACTCAC